TAACAGATTTGAAATATCATACTGGTATTTCGATCACCAACCCGCCAAACGTATCGATTGTGGCAAATCCAAATTCCGAGAAGTTTCTGGAACAGAAAACGTTCTGTCGCTTTACTCCACATTTTATTTATTTTGGAAGCTTATAGCTACCTAAACTAAAAAACTAAAAAAAATATCTACACACTATTAAGCTTTGAAACTGTATAAAAAATCCTAAAAGAATACTTTAGAATCTGTTATATTTGTGAGCATCACAAAACAAATTGGGTACATGCTCATATCATAATGAAATTATTATAAGAGCAAACTGTAAACTATACTTAGTATGCGTAAGAGGCACTTTAAATTGACTAACCAATTGAGATGAATATGGGGAAACTCTAATAAATGTTATGTGTTTGTATGTAAACTGCATGTAATAATTTAAGCACTAATTTTAAATTATATTGAACTTAACTAATAACTACAATTGAATTTTTATGCGAGTGACGACGTTTCCGACATTACCTATGAACTTTCTGTTGTTAAATACACTACGGGATCTTTTTTTTAATATATAACTGAAGTGACAAACTAACTTAGAGTCTAAATGCAGCCAATTTAAAGAAAAAAAGAAAAGACTAAGATGGAATCAGCCTGTAATTATATTGGCTCTTTATACCCTTTAGACCAATACCACAGCAATGCAAGCACTGCTTTTTGGTGGTAGAAATATATAAGATGGTGGTATCTACAAAGATGAACGTCTAGGCAGCAGGCAGAAGGCAAGACTCCTTGTCTTGCTAGGCAATTAAATCAATATAATTCCCCTAACTATTTCGAGTATCTGCATTTAGTATATATTATTTATCTAGTTATTTCTATCGGATATATAATAAACCAGTTTGTTAACTCGTTATTATACAACGGTATGAACAGGCCTTTTTGCAATGACGTACGAGGTCGCTGCGATATTTGTTAGCAGATTTTTCATATATTAGATACCTACAATACAAACCACTATATGTTTGGTTTTCAATCGCAAAGGTGTTTTCTAATCGTTTCGTAACGAAGTATTTGTATGTTAAAAATATATAAATAAAAAGTGCAAAATACAATAATGTGCGACAAACAGCTTATAAGACAGAGTTCCTTGAAGAAACCGGGCCGAACAGGAAGTTTTAGAAGGAAGAATAGACATGTTCTTATCACACTTCCGGAATCCGATCGTGAGAGGTAGAAATTATCTTTACTTTATTTCATGAAGTTGTTTTAAAATCATGACTGTCTTTATTATTTTTACTTCCCGCTATGAAAATCAACGATTTTCAAAAAATCGCCAAGTTATTGTTTAAACCCCACATTTCACGTGTCTACAAAAGAGATGTATACGATCTATATGCGATGTCGGTCAAATGGAATCTTGTAGGTTTCTCTTTAAAAAGTTAAAATACATATATATGAAATTTTAATATTGACCAAAAAAGTGCTAACCTCTTCACAAAACAATATAATGATCGTGGTGGTACAAGAATCGATTATTTAATTTACTTCCGACCATATTCAAAACTTGACATTTAACCTTTTTTTTATATTTTCGGGATTGTGATTGAAAATTGTTTTTAAGACATAAATAAATTTATCAAATTCTGCCGTGACGGTTACCTCAAGCGAATTGTTGTTGATGTTTGAAATTTTAAATTAACAAATGAATTAGAATTTGTAAGGTTGACATATTATATTATACTAGTATGACATTATGAGTTATGACATGACTTCTTACATCCTAAATTTATTGACATTAAAACTGTTTTATTTAATTTTAATAGGAAATATTATTGTAATTTTCTAATTTTTTTATTCAATTGCATGTCGACGTGATATTTGCATACCGATAAATCGGTAAAACATGCATGTTCACACTATGTTATAAGTCCTAATAATGTACTAATGTACCATCCTTTTCTCGTAGCAATTCAGGCCAGTCCACACACACCTGATGGTAAGTGGTTGCTGTGGCCCATAGACATCTACATCTATCCTCGATTACGAATCAAAATTCAGATGCGTTGTCATCCGTGAGGACTAAGATGGAATGCTTCGTTTCCAGTAAAAAAGGGTCTCCGGTTCTCTACACTCACCATACAAAACACAGCAGCATTACGCTACTATTTGACGCTGGTATTCTGTGAGAGCGTGGTCCTTCCCCTGTCGAACCGACCCATTCGTACTACAACTATACTGCTAATATAACTGCAGCATGACTACCACGCAAAGAGAAAGTGCGTGGGCCTACGTGTAAATATTTTTTTCTGTAAATATTCAATAAGTAATAGGTTAAATCTACTATTATTAGGTAATAGACGGGGATGCTTCGCGTTATAAGTTAAAGCTGAATAATTTATTCGACTTCCCACCCTGAGGTATCCGCGTTCGTCTATAAATGGAGATAATTTTTTCAACGATGGACAAACTCTGACAAACTATTTATTTCATTTGCAAAGTACGCACTCTGTACTAATTTAATTATGACATCTTGAGCAGTATTCAATTCGTCAGTCGTCATTATTGAGTGCTTAGAGTGACCGGATTTGAGTCGGTACCATCTCAGTATTCGAGCAAACGTACGTTGCAGTTTATAATAAGAAGAGAAGTGAGAAAAGATTCGCTCACAGAACTCTAACTTAGAACTAACTAACTAACTTAACATTCTGAATTTTCAGTAACCAAGCAGTCATTGTATAAACACGGTATATTTCAAATTTAATTCAATTTGAACCAGCAGTTTAAGAATTATAACTAGTCAAAGTTTCTTAATTTTGTCACTCACTGACTGACTGACCGATCATCAAAACTCTAAGGCACTTCTAACAGACATAGAAACTTCAAATTAAGAATACAATTAGTGTTTAGTGTATAAATCAAGTAAAAACTAAAATATTTCGCAGTTTCGGTCCATTTTTCTAGATACACCAACTGTATAAATAACTATGTAATCCCATATAAATATATAAGATTACAAAGTTACATTTGCAGTGAATGAATCAGTGTACCTGTATATTCATAATATAGTGGAATAATAGGTGTAGATAGGTACGTTGTTGGTATTCAAGAAGTAGAAGGTACCGGAAAGGAAAAAAAGTAGGACTATCTACAAAAAGAAATGAGATGCCATCAAAAACATAACTTATTAAAAAAAAACAAGTCTCGAAACTCAGTTCTTCTACCGTAAAAAGTTGTGAGATGCATGTAATACCAAGTCGGTTAGTTTATTCCGGGGTCCCTCTGTCTTAAGTTATTACGTAATTAGCTAGCATAACAACATGTTTAAATAAGTAGGTTGATTTGGCAATCGCACTTAACGATCTTATTTAATATAATATCTATTACTTGTGGGATACATTGTGTTTTCATGCGATGGCCAAGTTAATCTATTTATTTAAAACATAAAAGATTTTTAATATTGATATGGCCATTAAAAGATGTTGTTAGGTTAGCTAATTACGTAATAACTTAAGACAGAAGGACCTTTAAGTAGGGACTGAATAAATTGACCGACTTGGTATTACATGGATCTTACAACTTTTTACGGTAGAAGAACTGAGTTGCGACATTTGGTTTTTTTACAAGTTATGTTTTTGATGGCATTTAATTGACTTTGACTACATCGATGTTCTAAATTGAAGTCGGTTATACAAAATTTTTAAATTTACCACTTGTTAAAGTTTTATAAAAGCGTTACCGATTGTAGAAAGTCAGCTTGGATAACAACGCTGGTTGTGATGCGTTGTACTCGTGTTAGTGACATTGTATATATGACAGCAAACCTCCGATTTTATCACATTAGTACTTCGTCCGGCACGGGTACCATGAGCTCACTGATATCCATTGGCTGGCATGGGATTTTCTATTGAAGTGATGATTAAAGTTTATCGTCACGCTTAAATGACGCTGCTTGAAAACCTAAGTAAGAACCGAAGTGTATGGGCGCCCATGGTAAAACATGCAGAGAATCGACGTATGCAGGTGGCCCAGGACCGCTTCTTGTGACATGTTCAGCTGTTAACATGTGAACAGATTATGATTTTGTTGAATCTAAAAAGAATCTTTTAAAACCTAAATCATCGTTTATTAGCCATTTCGTATATACCTACTCCTTTTTGTGAAGTCGGTGAAAAAAACTTCCTATTTCGCGAATATTACACATTGTTAACTTATTTTTTGTTTCCCGCGATCATGGAAGTGTGTGAAAATTTACTTTTAACTAAACTTTTAATTTTTAATGAAAACATCATATTTTTTTCTCTGTTTAGTTTCATTGAGATGACATGGCAAAAATCCCTCAGTGAAATATCTAAGTGCTAAAATTAAAAAAAAAAAACAAATATAGGTATGCAAAGTTTTACAATCTATATTATAGGTAGTTTGAATCTTTGGTTCTTTCTGGTCCGTTGAAATAGGTACCTAGTGTCTCTAGTATATGTACTCTAGTAATCTATGACCTAGTGGTTATTAAAATATCAATCGCATCAAACATTTTAAGAAAGCGTAATCATGCCATCTATCGCAGAAACATGAAACTATTCTGCAAATGAACGCAGAAATTTGAACCGAAATGAACCATGAACTGAACAGCTGTTTTTCTCCATCGATTTTCTCCTTACCCGCAAACAAATTCACTGCAATACAACCTGAAGTTTATACACATTGCTTACTACGTCAAAATCGAAAGACATAAGGGTAAAAATAATACAATAACAATTCATTTTCTTACAAAAATTATTAAAACAAACTCGTGTAACAAAACAAAGCAGTTTATGTGTAATATTATTGACTTTGTCTTACTAAGTTATAATTTTATGTGACAATAACAATAGACATAAAAAAGTGTGTGAAGAAAAAATAGGCCAATGGAGCAAACTTTGAGGAGTGGTTTACATAGAAGGAATTTTATAAGCTCACGTGTTGATAATATTCCAATGGACACCATACGTTTGGTATCTCCAATTAATAGGTTTACTATGATCCATGGTAACTACAATAGTGACGAAATAGACTATTTAGAGAAGTAAGTACATATAATCTTCGAAATGATACTGAAAACTTAAGATCTTAATTTAACATATCGCATGAAGCTTAAGAATATTCTACCTCATTACCTCTTGTTTGGTACCTATTTGTGGAAAAAGGAATAGTTTTTGTATTGAAATACAAAAATTATTCAGTTTAATTTATTTATTATTAATAATAAATATTGTTCTGAAGACCAGAAATCCTATACATTATTATGTAAGCGTTAACTAACACACTAGTAATAAAATAACCTTATCGGTTTAATATATAGAGAATTATTATTTATTAATTAAAATTATTAATTATTATAATTATTCTTATATAGAGAATATAGAGCAAATACAATGTAAATTTATTAAGGCGTTAAATTATCGTACTCAACATAAAAAAGCAGTTATAAGGAATCTTGCTATCATCATAACTTATTGCAGTTAAAGGACCGACGTACACTTCTACAAATTTTGTTTCTACACGACATCTGTAGTAATAAAATTGATAGTCACGAATTGACATTTCAATTCCTACAATTCAATGTTCCTACGAAGCGTACCAGACATACATCCCTATTTCATGTCCCTTTAAGTCGCTCTAATTATGCTCAAAATTCTGTCATTAGTCGTACACTTAACTGCTACAACAAAAACTTTTCAACTATTGATATTTTCCACGACAGTAAAGCTTCCATAAAAAAAGAAATAATCTCAATTTTAAGAAATAGCAAGTAATATAAATTTAAAAAAATAACACGTACAAACATGCCACACCTCTTTCACACACACACTCTCGCACTCACATACACACACACACAGGCACGCACGCACGCACGCACGCAAATTTAGTAAAAACCTCCGAATGAAAAAAAAATTGAAATTAGCTGTGACGGAACTGCTTTTTATTTCGTAAGTTATTTAAATTTTGAGTGATGAAAATTTAAATAACTTACGAAATAAAAAGGGAAAAAATGTAAAGTTACTGTACTTAACTACTGTACTTAAAATGTAGTTAGTGACTAACCTTTTAATTTTATTTTTCTATAAAGCCTATAGCTCACCTATACATACTATTTTTCTAATTTTTCTTTATTAATAAAAAAATACTGAAAATTGTTTTTTTAAACATGAGTAAAACTACGCACCATTCAACCTATCTTATAAATCCTATTTGACAACAGATGGCACTTTATCGCTTTTGTTACAGACCATACAAGCTGAGGACCAAGATTATAATAGCAGCACTGGTGTTTCTCGTGTTCGTGTCTGCGTTAAGTGGTTTCCTTATAGGCAGTGCCGATTACGCATCATGGAAAAATTCGGAACCACCCGACACAGTACATGCCTTGCGACCTTCTCCATCAATACTTCATGTGTTTCAAAGGGCAGCCGTGTGTACTGATGCCCCTCAATGTTCAAAAATAGGAAGGTAAGGAATCATGTTCTTTGTAAGAAATCATATCATGTCCTTTGCATCAAGTTAATATTTTTTTAGATTGTGTGGCATAAAACTATCCTATCCAAATCCAACATTTTTCTTTTAGCTATTTGTCAACAGATGGCACTAGCTGTCTTTTATTTTGTATCTGTATATGTTGAAATTTTTTACCAATAAATGGTAATCAGTACAAAGATTGACACTATCACCATCCATAATAATTAATATTATAAATCTTATAGAACTGTAGCCATCTATTTGAAATTTAAGATACTAGATATAACCTAGAGAGATAATTACCTATGAAATTCTTTTCTTTTCTGAAATCATCCATATTTATAGAAATTAAACTAATCTGAACTCTGACAAAGTATATTTATTGGTATTTAAAACTACTTTCTTCTAAGTTATAAGAGCAATAATAAGTTCCGTCTTTGACAGATAGGTACGAAGGTTTGAAGAAATTAATTACCTAATTTTTAACACGACAAACCTATTTTCCATAAAATATATTTTTTAATAAATTTAAAAAAAATTATGAAAGAAATAATAACAATATCTTATCTTTTCATAATTTCGAAATAATACTTTCTTCTATTAAAATTACTTTAAGACATAAAGACAACATTTTCGATCAACTATCACATTAGAATATAAATATAGCTTGCTTATAAATACAGACTACCACTTGCTTTTATTAAGTTGAGACATTTTTACTTTTGCCACAGAATAAATAATAATACGTACCTTTACTCATTTAGTATAATATTATAACTTGCACATGGCCACACCACACCAGGCGGTTTTTACACACACATATACAAATACAGTAAAGTTACTCTAGGCGTGGAGAACATCCACCAATCACGTTTCGAGAACTCGAGAACCATTCGAGAACTTTATCGACGCGCATGCGGTCCGGTCAGTGACAGTGACGTGTACTCGATGCCTATAAAAGCGATACGATTCACGCCGTCGCAAACATTTTGTGAAACAAAATTGTTAGTAACGTTGTCAGTGACAAATTTCAAGTGTTATAAGCAATAATTTATTCTAGTCTAAATATGTCCTCTGAAGATTTCTTTGACGAGTACGATCACTACAACTTCGATCACGATAAGGACAAGCAGATTTTCTCTGGACACAGTGGCAAACTACGTACGAAAAGAGAGGTAAGCGAGCACACCAACCACTTTGACCCGTCCGGCCATTCTAGAAAGATCGTCACAAAGCTTATGAATACCGAGAAAAATAAGAAAGCTGCGAATAAACATTAAATGGATTTGTAAATATTTCTACGACAATGGCGTGTGCAGGGATTATGGAAATGCCTAATGAAAGGAGAACGTTATGGCGGATACCAGAGGAGAGCACGGGTCGTGGCTCGTCGCAGAGATCACTGGAACACCCAAGGAGATTCCTGTTGTCTCAGGGGTTTTACCTCGCTCATCACAACAGCGTCAGGTTATGCTATCGGGCAATGCCACAACGCCAAACCGATGGCGCGGCGTCCCGACCGGTAAATTTCTATTTTGGACATAACATCGTTCCAATGACTGATCTCAATTCTCACTGAGCTATTTTAAAGCTCAAAATCTCTGTGTTATTATTTACTAGATTATTTTTTATTACTTTTAATTTTGTATCGCTAATGGTACACAAAGGACTGTAATAATAATTTAAGTTTAATAAAAACGCTATCCTAAAACTGTTGTTTTCTTACGTTCGCTATTTGTTTTTATAAGATTGAAAAGAAAAATATCCTCTGTCGAGGTCATGGCTTACCGCTTGTCATACATATTTATTTAAACACCTACGCCTTCGTGTTTACATACAAAAACAACCTTGAATCTTGTCAGACTGTGGTACGTGACTGACCTTCGCTTCGTTTCTTTTTTTTTCAACAATAATTCTTATTCGAAAGATGATATTTTACGTTGAAACGTCTGTCAAGTTAATAATTCTAAGGAATCTGGCTAAACTAGGTCTGGACAGTTATCGAGTATGGGGACCTACTACCTAGCCTAGGTAGGTAAATATTGATTAAGTGAGGACAGATGTTTTGTTTAACTCAATGACAGATATTGGTTAGATATGAGTTGATAACTATACAGCTTTTAAATTTATACATTACAATACCACTGAATTAATAATGATAATAGCAAACTAGTCTTTGTTTTCTAATACATAGGTACTTACATTTTTTGCTCAGATAATTATTAATAAAGCACAGACTGTAGCTAGATTAATAATGTGGCATTATTGCGTATAATAAATTTAATATTCAGTTTATAATGTAACTTAATTAGGTACATAATTCTAGTTTTTAAAAGTTAAAATGCACATTCAGATTATCCTACATTTTTTTAATAATGGAGAAAGAAACTTGCACTTTAAAAATATGACTACAATATAGGTATTAATTTATCTAAATAGGTCATGTATGTCATGCTTAAAGTATAAGTAAGGGTAAGCTAAGCTGCCAAGTTTAAACTATGTATAGTTAATTCAGAAATTGTTATCAAATAATGTATTCCAAGATTCTATCGGCACGGGATAGGCAACGCTAATCATTGGCTTTTATTGAATTTATAACACACTATCCAAGCAACATACCTACTTTCATCTTAAAAACAAAAAAAAATGCTGCAATCTATAATGATCTAAATTTTGTAATAATACGAGATCAATATTTAATTTTTTTCTTATATTTTCGTTTTTATAATTAAGGTTTGTTTGTCGTCGTGTCTATAAACAAACACTAATTATAAAAACGTCTGCACCATGAAAGACAGCAGAGTATACAAAAAGTACCTACTCTGTGCAGCAGAGACTAAGCAGCTAAGCACTGTTACCGTTAGTAGCTTAGACCATTCAAGGTCTACGGTTAGTAGGAATAAATACAACATTGTTTATTACAACTTCTCGAGTAGAGTTTGTATATGTTGCAAGGAATTATTTATCTTTGTAGAATTGGTTTTTGAGTTTCTAGAAGTTGCAATGAACAATTTAGTATTTATTTACTTCGAGGCTTTCACCACCACGAACTACAAGCACTGGCATATATTATGTAACAAATATTATATAGTCGTATATAAAAACTTTTTATATTCCGTGACAAATACGGAGGTAGATATTAAATTCTATGAGATAAACGGATTCGAGTATTCCTGATTTCCTGCAAAGATGAATTTGGAGCTGCTTGCGATTAGAAGAGACGTCGTACCACAGAGTAAGGACTGTTGGTTTGTTTAATCATGTGGCCGTACCTCTGGAGTTAATGAACGTTGACCATAATAATAAAAAATGATGATAACAATTATAAATAACAACCTAACCATAAGGATAAAAGAGGTAATAATGTCCTTCAGACTTAGACTTAGATATTTCGGGCACGGCGACTAGTTTCAACGGAGACTAGTCTTCTGCGCTGGACAGGATTATATTAGTGCACGAGTTTGTGCACAAGCACAGGTGCATTCTCTATCCCGTCACTCTCTTAGTCCTATGCGACTATATTCGACACTACTGTCAAGAGATCAGGCGCAGGACCTACGGTTTTACGTGCGTTGAGCTGAAACGCCGCCAACTTCTTGACTTCGGGCTGTTGCTGAAAATTTGTTGACAGAACAAACCCAATAACTGATTTTGGTCCGACTCTGGATTGGAACCTGGGACCACAGGATCAGCAGTTTCACTAACGACCACTAGGCCGAGAAGGCAGTCGGCAGCCCGAGAGTGTAATATAATAATTATTAACAATAATTTCATCGAAATTCAGATACTTTTCCTTTGCTCGGTGCCGTTAATCTTGTTTAACATTGTTATTCTAACATGATTTAATACTACAAAGTAGAGGAAGGACAAACGTATAACGTACTTACGTACATTTATGCACGCTATAACAAATAGGCACTTACTGGTACTAGAGTTTTCTAATGATGCAAGCAAGTTAAGTTTTGTGAGCATTAAAATTATTTAAGTATTTTGTCACAGTTATAAACACAGTACTAAGTGTACAGTCAGAAGGTGTAGTTACAAAATAATACAGTTATTAAGTTACAGCCTATATACGTCCCATTGCTGGGCACAGGCTGTTTTTTTTCTTATTCTTCAGACATGAAGGTTTTTTTCATGATGTTTTCCTTCACCGCCGAGCACGTTGTAAATCAGTACTTAAAATTGCAACTAACAATTTCATTGGTGTCGGCGGGGATCAAACTCGGGTTGCTCGCATACCTACTGTGAAATTTACAGCGAGCGTTAACCATCCGAGCTACCACGGCTCATCGATTATTAAGTACATGATAATAATTTATTAGTTTTGTTAAATCATTGTCTGCCGGCCGTTTAACTATGTGTGAGTAACTAACGCGAGCGCGAATTGGAGCGTAATGGCGGGAGGTAGACTTACTATGGTATGCATGTGTGCATGCCGGCTTGTTTGTATTAGCGAACTGACTTACTATGGGTGCGTCAGTAATTGTTTTAAGAGACGGCGTCCGCCCTTTTTTCTAGGTCCATGGGTCAAAAGGGATTTATCGACGCCATTTTGACAGTTGATATTATAGTAAATATTTTAGTCAATTTTAGTACGGTTTGTAGTATGATTTTAGTATAAAGTAAGTTTTTTTAAGTTGATTTTTCGAAGTGTTCATGATTATTGCCAAGGTTTGTTTACTATTTTTTTCTTAATAAATTAGTTATAGTATTTTTTACAATTTTGCGTTTTTGTTTCTGTCCCAGTTTTGGTTTTATAGTACGGCAATATTTGAGGTGACCGTTACCCTAACGTTAGGTACGTTACCTTATTTAATTTTACAAATCATTAACCAATCTAAACTATGGAAAAGTCATCATGCGTCGGTGTATTTTAGAGAAATCCTTGCTTCAAATGGGTCGGCGGTGGACGCGGCGATTGCATCCATGTTTTGCAATGGCTTCTACAACCAACAGAGTATGGGTTTGGGAGGCGGTTTCTTCATGACTGTTTACATAAAAGAAGAGGAAAAAGCGTACACTGTGATAGCGAGAGAGACTGCACCCGGGGCGGCTACTGCGGACATGTACCATGGGAACTACGACAAAGCATCAAAAGGTAATGTGTTTTAAAAACAAATAAAACAGATTTCACATAATACCAGCGTAAAATAGCAGCTTAATGCTGCTGTGTTGTTGATGTTTCCTAGCCTGTAATTATACAGCTCTCTTGCCCTTCAAATCGAAACAAAACAGTGGGTGCACTGTTGCCTGGCGAAAGAAATAAGTACAAGTCTGGACTCTCTAAGGTTAGAGGGTGGTATCAATCCAGGTGCATTTCTAGCGAAAACGGGACACGCGCTACCAACAGACTAGTACAAAACACCGTCTAACAACAGGAAGGATTATCGCTACCTGATAGACTTTTAGACGTGATAGAGCCACACTGCAGCTTTGTTATGATTGTAGCACGAATGGGTTGACTCGATCGGGGTAGGACCACTCTCTCACAGAATACCAGCGTAAAATAGCAGCTTAATGCTGTATCTTTTGAATGGTGGGTGTAGAAAACCGGAGACCTTTTTTACTGGAAACGAGGCATCCCATGTTAGTCCTCATAGGTGACGACGCATCTGCATTTTAATTCTTAATTAAGGATAAATGTAGATGTCTATGGGCCACAGCATCCACTTACCATCAGGTGAACTGTGTGCTCGTTTGTCAACCTTATTCTATAAAAAAAAGATAAAAAATTAAAATGGCAAATGCTCGTATCCGCCGATAAAAATCCAGTGTCATTAATAACAGGTTTACAAAGTTAGCAATTCAACCGTAGATTGAACTGGGTGAAATACCGGAAATGCCGGAATATCAGCAAGACTTCTTGTTTCATCTTATTATGGTATTTTTTATACATTAGCTTTGAGTCTTAACAGCTCGAGGGCCGGGATCTCGCATTTTCACCTCGGCCACTGAAATTATTACCAAACTAGCTGTTCCCCGCGACATCGTCCGCGTGGAATTTAATACGATTGGATTAGGTACCTACATGGGTTTTTTCGCATGGAATCCTAATTATTTTTCTGGAATAAAAGTAGCCTAAGTTACTTCTTATAACATGAGCTATCTACCAGTAAAAGTCCCGCCAAAATCGGTTCAGCCGTTTCAGAAATTAGCCGGATCATACAGACAGACAGACATACGGACGGACTGACAGACAGACAAAAAATTTAAAAATTGTTTTTTTTTTGTTACCATACCGTATAAACTATCATACATTTTTAGTAAAAAGCTGTTTTAAATTGTTGACTTAAATTTTATATATTTGTATAGATGTCAGTTTAAAATATTTTATTTTATTTTATTTAGAAGACCAACAGCTATCATAATTAGGATAGATAATTTCTAAAATAATAGAGGTTAGTTCCTTTGTCTTTTCGCTCAACAACCCTCTGTCGAAAAACACTTGGTATGGGTACAGTATAGTCTTCTTCACTTTTTCCTGAGAGCATAAACCTGTCTAGCTTCGGCAGTGTAGAGAAGAGCGCTATTCTCTTTACGGCCGAAATATTTTTTTGTATTTTTATGTATTTATATATATATATATATATATATATATATATATATATATATATATATATATATATATTTCGAATATAAAACAACAATAGTTAGTCAGTAGCTTTATTTTTTAAATTTTTATTTAATACAATGTCGTTTTATTTGAAATTTTTAAAATAAAGTTTAGGTAATTTTTCCTGTACCTTATACGAGCGTGCGAGTTGACAGCAGAAACATAAGGTAAATTCGAAAAGTGAAAAGTCGCCCGATCGGGCGAGTTTTTATCGGGCGAGATAACGAATAACCCCTTATAACTACAGGAAGCCAATTAAAGGTCCTCACTAGGAAATACAAAGGTGAATTTAAAACAGTGATAAACGCGATTCGACACTGGAAAAGTATCTAATAGTAACATACTTATACCAAATGAGGTCCTAACTGATATAACATGTAATATGTGTATAAAAGAAAAATAATAACATAAATACAAAATATTTCAACGTTAGTGTTGTAACAAAAAAGTACATTGGTAAAGTACATTTGGCTAATGTAGCGCTAGTCAACAAATCGAAGTCAAACTCTTTGGCTAGCTCGTTAAAATTATTGCTCGCTCGCCAAATAAATGTATGAATTGTGCCTGTAATTTGTAGATGCAAACGGAAGACTTATGATTGTGTTGTGTCTAAGAGGTTTGGCGGGACAGTTAAGATGTAATTCAGACATCTATTTTTAACATAAAAGTGAGTTTAATAATCTCACGTCGCTTAGCAAGAGGAAGAAGGTGATGTTTATTTACAAAGAGTAATATAATTATCAAAGTATAGCGATAGTATTTGATTCTATAACAGAGGTAACGAATAAACTGTCTTTGAATATTTTCAATTCGGGTAATGTAAGTTATGTACCTGGTATCCCAGATTTGTGATGCGTACTCTATTACTTCTAACAAGACAACAATACAGGATCTTAATAGTTTAAGGCTAGTGGAGTCCTTAGGGTTAGAACTACGCATTAACAATCAAAGAGCTTTCGTAGATTTGGCTATATTGCTTCCTAATTGAGCGTCAAATACCGTGTAATCAAGTAACACGTTCTTAATGGCGTAAGAAAGCATCGTGAGGAGGCGTGTATGAGAAATTAAGAATACGAGTATTTCGGAGGTCGTGTGAAGTATGTCATTACTAATTCCCCCAGGGTGATGGATTCTACCCTGCTCCCAAGATCCTTTCAGTAATGATAGGCGAGTGGTACAGCAATGGGATGTACGTAGGATCTAAATTTATTTTGTTTAGGTACTATGTATACATTGTGTCCTCAACTCACAAGTAGATAGATAGATAGATAACTCTTTATTGCATTTGAACAAAGTTATTACAATAATGGAAAACTTACGACTACAAACGGTGGTATATACACATACAATATAATATATAAATGTACAATAATTTTAATTTAATATATTCAAATATATACGATATGTAACATAATTAACGCACACCCTCAGACACCCCAATTAGTATATTATGTTATGATCATAATACATACACTGAATTTTTAGTTAAACATTTTTATGCACTGATTATTTCTCAAATTAGTTATACTAATTCCGGAAGAATGTTGTGGTCACAGTACAAATCCACGAACGCAAAGACTTTAACATGCTTGAAATAAAGTTCATTTTTCTTTATTTTTATTGAATGACAAAATTAGTAATAATACAAATAAAACTGCACTCTTAAAAGTCTTATTGCCTTAAATTACGGCCTATTTCAGTTTGTTTTGACTGTACAGATTTAGTGCGACTGTAATTTACGTAGTTTTAATTATTTTTGGGATAAAAAATTACCTATATTAAAAATGATAGGAATCGATTCAGTAAACGATTCTGAACAAACTACTTTCTCAAAGTGCGTTAATTTTGTTACGTGTTGTATACTGCAAAGAAAATTTAACAAAAAAAAATCAGTATTTATGAAAAGAGGAAATACATATAATTTATTATTATGACGGGAACTTCAAATAATACTCCTTAAGTAGTTTTTTAAAAGACTGTAAAGATTGCGCTTCCTGAATGTTAAATGGTAATGAATTCCAAAGTCGCGTTGCTAGTGAAGTAAATGATTTATTTTAAAAAAGTAACTATTTTTATTTTTTATTTTAAAAACTTTATTGCGTCCCCTTAGAAAAAAAAGGACACAAAGGGCGGACTTAATGCCTATAGGCATTCTCTACCAGTCAACTCATGGAGTGGTGAAAGTTTGTCGTAGGTACCTACGACAAATTACACATACGGAAATTAAAAGAAAAGAAAAAAAGTTAAACTAAAATTAATACTCATTATATGTAGCAAAACTGATTATGATTGTAACTAAATATCTATTTTGAAATAAAAAATCGCCAATCGTTATAAATCTTCTAAAGTATAGGTAGGTACCTATATTATTTGAAAATTAATAGAACGATGTTTTTACACACTTGTCAAGGCTAGAGGAACTTTAGCAATTGTGTATGGGTTTGTGTACGTGTGCAGATCTCTATTTTCAGAACTTCAAAGGTAAGAAATGTTTGTTATGTTGAATTAAAAGTTATGCCGAAAATGCAATTTTTAGAATTGAGACTTTTACTGGCATCCAATGATACCAGTAAAAGTCTAAAGTTTTTTTTAAATATTGATAATGATAAAAATATATATCTGGCATGTTTTTCGTATTTTTGATTGGATTTCAGAGTAATTTTAAGACCCGTTTTACTGGAATCGAGGCATTCCTTCTGTGTGCTCTTTTGTCACCTTCATGAAAGTGGAATGAAAGAGTGGAAATAAATTATACCTCGTTTTTAAAGAACATATTATTATTCTATTCTTTACTTTAGTTATACATCTCTTGGCGGTAAAGTAGCAAATTTTTAAGGATACTAAACTTTGAGCAAAGAATATCGATAAATAATAAAAATGTTCATATTTCGTGGCAGGTATTCGTGCTAAGTAATATCGCTTTTGTGTGTATAAGAAGTTAATAGATCATTTCGTACCTTCACACTTCACAAGTATTGAGTACAGTTTTCTTTAAAACTGGAATAAATTGCGCTTCGGGACACTGTGGCGCAGAAGTGAGACGCTCACTTGAGAGGGATGGGGGGGGGGGGGGGTAGGGGCACAAAATTTAACTTCGCTCTCTAACGTACATACCGATAGATAAACGTTATACTTCATTAATTTTGCTAAATTATCCATATATTATTAATTATGTAAAATGCTTGAAATAGTTGTCATGTCATGTCATGTTGCGCGCCTCAGACGCGTGATAGGTATACGGGAGTGAAATCGCGAGGTACAGCTAGTGCTAAATAAATCTCGAAGCCATAGATAATAATACTATATAGTATATAGGGCAATCGAATCCCCGGAGAGTAGACGGAACATTATACGCTCACTGAAAATAATGTCTTTTGCTTTATCAAACTAATTTATTTTTATCAGTATTTCATATTGAATATTTCGGAACAAATATATCAGTATATAAGTATTTATTAATGTTAGTAGCAATTTTAAAATTGGTA